ACCTAATGTCGGGGGTTTAAATGGAGAGAAAATGTTTTGAGAAACGATGTACAAATGCGCTTTACACAATTGATGTGTATATGGATTGGGATAACAGTTGTATGAGCCCCTAATAAAATGTTAAAAAAGAAAAAAAAAATTAAGAAAAAAAAAATAGTTCTAACCACCTCTGAGATGTAGGCACTCTTATGACCTCACTATTATTTGTAGATGAGGAAATAACTGTGATTTTAAGCTTTTGTTTAGAACACCTTATTACCTTACTGATAACTGAAGGAAGCATATCTTCTCTTCTAATGCAGGATTTCAATATTAATATTTTAACGGACAACACAGAAAGTTCCAAATTTCTCTGAGTAGCAGCCAAACTTCTAAAAATTTATCTGATGTTTATAAAGCAAAATAATCTCATAGATTGACCTTGAAAATTCCATTAGAATGTCTTTAAAATTCCATGCAGATACATTTGACCCTGGTGATGTTCAGGAAAAGCATGAAGTACACAACAACAAAATGCCCAGGAGATTCTGTTTCCTGTTATTGCTGTAGTCAGCGCGTGATACAGTGGATATGCATTTGACTACCCTGTTTTCCCTAAAGTATGACATCCCCCAAAATAAGACCTACTTACAGTTTTACATCTCCCTGAAAATAAGGCCCCCGGGAACTACCGTAACTCTGGACTCTGTTGGCCGCAGCTCAGCCGGAGCAGACAGGAAGTGCGAGGTCTCTTTTAATAAAACAATAAACAATAAATGTGTACTGTATTCTTCGTGGAAAAATAAGACATCCCCTGAAAATAAGACCTAGCGCGTCTTTGGGAGCAAAATTAATATAAGACACTGTCTTATTTTCGGGGAAACAGGGTAGTAGGCAGGAGAGCGGCCACTTAGTTCTGGCTTGGCAAACCAGAGAGCTAACCTTGCTGGGTCTGTATCCAGTTCTTCATTTGTGAACAAAGGGGACTGGGCTTGATGACGGGCAAAGACACAACTACGACGTTCTTTCCTACGAGAAAGCTGCCCCATAGCTCTGACAGAGGTGGGAAGTAAAAGGCTATTCGGTCAGACTTTGAAGATAGGACATTTATAATGATCGACATGCCAACAATGATTCTGTTTCAGCTTAATTGTAGGGTGACTAGACTTTTTTCTCTTCAAGATGTGAGCCAATCTCTGTCCCTAAAAGTTAGAGTTAATGTTCTGCTCTACATCATCCTATCGTTTTTAAAAAGTGCATTCATTAACACACGGTCTTGGATTTTCTTTTTCTTCATACCAGAGTTTTAATTTTTAGAAAAGCGTTTTAAATCCTGGAAGGATAATGTATTTTAATATCATTTTGAGATCTTTCTCAATATTGTTAGAAGTGAGAGATTATACACAGTTGATGATAGTATATAGCCTTTTACTTTTAGAAGACAGCAAGTATGACGATATTTTGGTTGAATTTTAGTTGAGATTTTCAGGTAAGATTACTGTTGAATAGCTAATCTATTGCCAATGGTACTTTTAAAGTATCATTTTTAAAATAAAAGAGTCCACTTCTGATTTACCCATCTTCGGTAGGCATGATACAGTCATTAAATTCTGAGTTATATCCCATATTAAGATTCTGATAGAATTATTGCTAGTATCTCACCATCTGATATACATATAAAAAAATCTGCATCTAATTTAGGAAGACTTATTAATTTCAGAAGAGAAATGGGTAAAACCTTTTGGGGAGAGCAGTGAGTTTGGTCAGAAATTGGGTTTTAACTATAAAAAGATATAAATGGAGGTCTGATATAAAAAAAAAAGAAATAGAGGTCTGAGGGGCCGGCCCCAATCCCAATTATGTGGACATCCCTCCCCTCCCCACAGAAGAATTCACTTCAGATGACAGCACTGAAGCTACAGCTCAGGGAGAGGGACAGGTCTGACCAGAGCACACAGGAACAAATGAAGGGGGAGGAAGAGAGAGAGGAACACATCCTGACCCACCATGCCCTGAGGACGATATTCCCACTCAGAGCAGCCAAAGCAGGCAAAGACTA